GATTTCAAGGAGCCATTGCCACCATGTGGTCCATGATGGATGAAGATGGACCGGTTGTTGCGGAAACTGTCTACAGCCATTTATTGGGCAGTGGGCAAAGGCCTCGAGCATCTGAGGCTGCAAAAGCACTGCAGCTTGCTGTTCGAAAGATGAGGGATGCCGGAGTGCCACATGAACGATGGGTACCATTTATCCACCTGGGAATCTAGAGTGGTGATCCTAGTTCCTTCACACTTCATCATGAAAGACTCACCTTTATTTAGATTCTGATGCTGAACATGTGTCTGTTATCTTTTCTTTGCCTCAGGATTCAAATATTGTTGCAAAACTTTGGTTTTTAATCACCTGGATGTAGTTCGTAGTACCAATATTTATCCTCAGGATTTTGACACTTTCACAGGTGAATTTGGTAAGCAGACTCTAGTGTCAGCATGTCTTGGATTTGGCCCAGCTTGCTAGATTCTTCTGCCATACAACCAATAATTTGATTTAGATGGGATTTATTTTGGGTTGGTGGTGATTACGGTATTGAAGGTCGGGTACGGAGTCTGGACGAATTTGTGGAAAATTTCCTTGTTCCACACAACCACTCAAGTGCAGCGCGGGCCTTCCCTTATAGTGGTAGATATTTTTGATGAGGATACAAAGATACCATTGATATGACCGACTTCGCTAATGAAAACCTCAGGTAAATAACACCTCATCGGCTCGATTCAAGTCTATATAAGAAAGGAAGCAAATAATTAAATAAATATGAATTAGCTTGTGCATGTCTGCGGATGACTCGGGAGTTTTTGCTTGAGGTTCGTTAGCATTCATTCATTGTCTTCAGCTGGTTTCGACCACAGTGGGTTGCAAGTTCGTTGCAATTTCCCCCAGATTCCAACGTCGGCTGTGTGCCGGGGATTGTGACTAGTGGCTGCACCGCACTGGGATCGTTTCGTGGGCCAACATTGTCCATCCTCAAAGAGTTGCGCAGTAGTTTGTAGGATTTAATTCATTATCGATTACAGATTAGATCTGTCCAAAAGGCTCGTCGTGTGGCGCAGAAGAGCAGTGTTGTGCTCGGATCTTAGCTGTGCAATTTTTTAGACACTCAACGAATATATGATGTGCGCTTTCAACGATTTCCTCATACCTCGGCACATTTTGAAAAGTTCGGAAGTTTGTTAGAGCGGCCGGGAGTTGCGCCGATCAAGTATACACTTGGATTGTGGCCGGATATGCTGCGAAAGCGCGTGTGTAGTGGTGGGTGGTCGTCAGAGGAGGATAGTGGTGCGGAAATAATCTCATTCTGATCGGCCCAGTCACAAGTGTCACATGCATGAGAATCACACAAACGGGGATATTAACAAGTAGGGAACAGCGTAGTAAGGAGTAAGACGACGCGCGCCAACGCAGGTGCCTGCTCCTGCCAACGTAACCGCAGATCCCCCACGCCCGCAGCGCCGGAAGCCACGCCAATCGGCCGCGCGGGCACCGATGGGCACTGGTAGCCAGCCCAACCTATATCGTCTCCAGGCGCAGACGACCACACATGCGTGCGCGGCACGCGCTATTCGTCACGGACAGGCGAGGGGCGGAGGGGCACCCATACCCGCACGAATCACGGACACTGTTCCCGCCCCCACAGCCTCGACGTCACCCCGCCCACCTCGACGCGATGTACCCACTCCCCGCTCCGCTCGACCCCCCGTAGGCACGCAACCACACGACTTGACGGCGAGCCCGCACGCAAGCCTGAACACAAGGAGGTTGTTACACCTCGCCAGCAAGCCTCTAGCACCGCGCGCTCTACTCGTCATGCCTCGGCAGTAAGCAGCCCATTCGTACAGGTCGCCCATACGCGCACGGGGGGGGCACGGGGGGGGGGGGGGGGGGGGGGGGGGGGGGGGCGCGAATTAGACGTCCACCACTCCCACTTCTACTTCCTCCTGACCCTCCGCAGCGCCGTGCCTATGAGACCGCGCAGGACACCGACACGGACACCGCGCGGAGACACGTCGACGACACCGCGCGCAGGATCAAGATCCGCGCGCTCGCATCGTCCACCCCCACCCGAGCAGCTCAGCCCGACCACGATCTTCGGCGACTCCTCCCTCCACCAACCGCATGCCGCACGCCCCCTCGTCCACCGCCTCGTCGCTCCTGCCCTCCCGAGGCGCCATGCTCGGTCGGGTTCGACAACACCGGGCTCGAAAGCACGGGTACACGACCACAAGATTACCCAGCGCGCACCTACACCGCACATGTATGTATCCCGAAACCCACGCCGCAGCTGCCGAGCCCACGCACGCCGGCACCTGCGCGTACCGTCATGCCTGCGCTGGACAGCAGAAGAAAGACACGGCGCGCGGGCGACAGCGTATATCTCCAAGCACACACGCTTGCCCCGTACGCACACTCGCAGGACACACACACGCCGCGGACACCGAGCGCAGGCTCGACGGCGCGTATGCACAAGCCCCCCACCGGCACCCACCCACGCGTATGGATGGGAAAACCCGCCCACGCTGCGATACCGGCGGGCTGTATGAGGAAAAGACGGGCGCAAAGCCGCAGGGAGCAAAAGACACGTAGGCGGGTAAATGCGCGAGCCCCGCGTGACTAGGATGCCGCCGTCCCACACGAGAGGAAGAAGACACGTGCGTCGGCGACGGCGCGCTCGTCGTATCTATGAGCCCGCACGTATCACTAAGCCTGCATCCGCAATACTGGAGTGCAGCAGAAGAGAGAGGTGCGCGCGGCGCCGACGGGCAACAAAAGACGCGGGGTGACGGTGCGCTCGTCATCTGCGAGCCCGCACGTATCACCAAGCCTGCGTCTCCACTACCGGAGAGAAGTAGGCGCGCTGGGAGCAAAACAAAGGCGCGGCAAGACATAGGCGCGCCGCGAAGGAAAGTCGGGCGTAGAGCAGGTCTGTGAGCGCGCGGCGCAGGCGGGCCGACGGCGAACGCGCTCAGAGTAAAGCGTGGCGGAGGGCGAAAGCGCGGAACCCGCGCAACAGGGTACCGCAGCAGCGAGGAGTAAAGGAACAAGATGCGCGGTGCTGAGCACGCGCGCAGCTACAAGCCTGTAACTGCGGGTACCGACGGGGGCAGAAAAAAAACGCGCGGGGTGCCGGCAGATCCGTCGAAGGCGGTGAGCGCGCGGGGCGCAGAAGCATGCACGTCTCATCAAGCCCGCCCCCGCGGCAGAAGAAGAACGTGTGCGGGGTGTAGCGCCTCCCCAAGTCCGCCCCGATGGCGACGGCGCGTATGCAGCTCCAAGCCGGAACCCGCGGTGCTGGCGGGCATGGAACGGCGCGCACTCGGAGTGGAGTGTCCGTGGGCGACGGCGCGCGACTAACTTCCTACGCGCCGAAGACGAAGAGGTGCGACCCGCACCGAACATAGCGTGTCTGGCTCGCGTCTAAGCGTATTGGCGGACGAGGATGCGAGATGGTGCCGCCCTCCCGAGGACGGCGGCGGCCCCGGATCCGCAACGAAAACGACGCGCCGTTCCTTCTCGAGGGCTCCACGCAGGAGGGCTCGTGATGCTTGTACGGGGCTGCTTCTCCCGAGCGCAAGCGCACTCGCTCTCGAAGGGTGGGCCACAGAAACAGACAAAGACAGCTAGACAGAGAAAGAAAGGTTAGCGCTCGTTCGGGGACGGCGAAGTGGGGCGAGGACGACGAGGGGGGGAGGGGGGATGAGAGGAGAAGAGAAGGTGCGGCAGTGCGGCGCGGGGTGAGGAGAGGCGGGGGGTGGACGCAGGTGGAGGGGGCCTGCGGGGAAGGACATACCTAACGTCGAGGACACGGATCCTGGGTCCTCGTCCGCCTCGCCGCAGTAGCGTGGGACGCCGTCGACGCCGATTTCTGTTTAGGTGGGCAGCTGAGGGGTGCGGGTTAGTTAACGGAATTAGTTTGGGAATACGAGAATAGGAGGGTAAGAAGGAGGGAAAAGAAGCCAACTAAGACGAAGAGGAAAGAGCAGCGAAAAGAGGCAGTGAGGATGAAGGTGAAAGTGGGGGAATGGCAAGATGCATGGTTTCTCCGACGGCGGACAAGACGACGATGTAGAAGTGAGAAGAACAGAGAAGGAAACGAAGGGGGAGCGTGCGTATGCGTGTGATGCGAGGAGAGTAGGAGAGCGGAAGAAGAAGGGCGGGGTTTGACACAAAAACCCAAATCCAGAATAATAATAAAAAAGGATGTAGGGAGGGAGGGGGGATGAGGTATTGATGAAATGATGAAATGATGAAATGATTGGGGTATAAAAAAGGCGCGCGGGAGTTGAGGGGGATGGAAGGACGGGGAGGATTACGGGAGGGGGAGAGTACGGGCGTGGATAACAAGGGTGTGAGCGGAGGGATGGAAGGAAGGCAGGGAAGGGAAGAAGCGCGCCAGGAGAGCGAAAGGGTAGAGCATTCCATGCGCCGGCAAGAACCGTGGAGATGGACCGAGGCGCCGGATAGATAATACAGTCGACGCCGGATAGATATATACAACGCAGGTCCACCAGTCTCCAGAGAAGAAGTAAATCAAGCATTGGTTTGTTTGGTCGTGGCGGGATTATGTCAGCTCCGCGTGATCCATTCGAGGTAATTTTTTATTCAACCCACACAGAAAGTCTAAAGTGAGCTCACTGTAGTAAGGTGCAGAATTATACCCACAAGGAGCTAATGGCGAAATTGGAATCCCATCCACTGCGGCACTGGTGCGAGGATATAATTAATTCTTATGTGAAAGGCTCTCGTTCGAATCGAGGCTAGGCGCGCTGCATCCCCCCCAGAGCATTTTTTTTTGTTCGGCATAAAATAATTCTCCATCTTCAGACTTATATAGTACTCAAAGTTGGGGAAGAAAGGAGGAAGACCTATTAGCGAAATTGGTATCGCGTCCACACCCTTTGGAAGGTCCTCGTTCGAATCGAGGTTAGGTCATGTTCAACTCACACCCCACACGCCCAATAACGAAATCACTTCACATTCTTCCAAAACAAGTAAAGGGCGGGAAGGACCTGATAGCGGAATCGGCATCGCGTCTACTATGTACACCTAAAAGGAGAACTCGGCGTAATGAATGGAAGTCCCTCGTTCGAATCCAGGTTAGGTCCTTCTGTCTTCCAATGCCGTTTTTATTCACCCCACACAAACACCGAAATAATGACACACCTTACCAAAAGCAGGTAAAGGGGAGGAAGACCTAATGGCGAAATCGGCATCGTGTCCACTGCACTTGAGAGAAAAAGTGTGGCAATTATGCGGAAGTCCCTCGTTCGAATCAGGTCTGCTTTCTTGACTTTTCTTCCCCCTGTTCTCTCAGAACTTCACACTACCATTTTTTTTCAAGTGAGACATGGAAGTGAACATAAGAATAAGATGTGCTGAAATCACACCATCACCCCACGCTTGACTTTGAAAGCGTAAAGTCCCACACTTACACGAAAATTCAACGCCACACTGTGCGAAAATTCAACGCAAAAATGAATGTGGCAGTAATAATTACATTGTGTAGTTTGAACAGCCGCCCCCGGCTCGATAATATTCTTCGCATAAAGTAAGCGAGTAAATAGAACTTGGAAGGCGGGGTAGCACGCGGTGTGCAGCAGGAATCGCCATGGGGTGACTGTTTGACGTCCGATTCTCCTGGAGGCGCTCGTTCGACTCGAGCCCCCACCATAGTTGTTGAATAAGTTTTTTTTTTCATTTTTATTGACATTTTATCCCACGGGACACGAATGCACGAATGCTTCAAGCTTCCTCCACCAGGGGTAGAAATATTACGCACAGAATCGGTGTGAATTTTGCGCGAAGCAAATGATTGAACCTCCTTTTGGAGACAAAAATTGCCACATGACAGGCTCAAAGAATCTTGCATAAAAGCAGGTACACAATGAAGGGAAGAAGGCGGGGTAGCACACGGTGTGCATCGAATCTACTTACGTGAGACATAAGAAGGTAACGACGCCGAAGGGGCCCGTTCGACTCGGGCCCCCGCCATGAGCTCCGTAATTTTATTTTATTTTATTCTATGCCTCGAGACACGCCAACTCTGGAAATACTAATACTTTATCCACCCTGGACAGGAAAATATTGCGTACAGAATCGATTTGAATCTGAATCTAAAGGTGTGGTTGAATCACCCTCACGGACAAAGTCTTCGGGCGCCAGTCTCAAAAAGTCTTGCAAAAACCAGGAAAAGATTAAAGGCAGGAAGGTGGGGTAGCACACGGTGTGCATCGGAGATCAGTGGCTAGCTGCACTAGAATCTACCTGAAGGCGCGCGTTCGACTCGGGCACCCGCCATTCGGCTTCATATGGAACATGTTTTGTTTTTGTTTTTATGCCAAGGGACAGACGAACGCAAGGAGTATTGCTTCATCAGTGCCGGGCTGGCAATCATTCCGCACCGACCCGTTTTGAATGTGAATTCAAGCGTGTGGTTGAACCCCCTTTTTCAGACAAGTGCTGCATCACAGGCTCAACAGCTCTGGCAATGGTATAAAATATGGGAATTATTAAGGGGAGGAAGGCGGGTAGCACACGGTGTGCAGCAGGACTCATTGTCAATCGAGGTCGGACTGAAAGTGCTCGTTCGACTCGGGCTCCTGCCATTTGACAGCTTATGCCAGGTTTTTTTCCTGGTGATTAGACATGGAGATGAGGAAAATCAATGGTGCGGGGTGAATGAATGTATCATCCACATGGCTTTTGAGTTGTTGGACTCGAAGGCGGTGGGAACGTTGATTTCCGGTTGAATCAATCACCATTGGCAAGTATCACTGCCAAGCTGGCGGCAAAAATCTCGCATAAAACCAGGAACACAATAAGAGGAGAAAGGCGAGGCAGAACACGGTGTGCAGGATCGGTTGCCAGCCTCACTGAAATCTTCCTGAAGCTTTTGTTCCATCGACACAAAAAGCCTGAAACTAGTTTAGGTTCAAGGACACGGGAGGAATCAGACCTAATAGCGAAAGCCCATGGCGTCCACTGTACCTGGTCCATAAAGTACCATTACCACTCTCCCTGGGGGCAAACAATGTTGATGTGGAAGCCCCTCGTTAGAACCGAAGTTAGGTCACGTCCAGTTGTTCCAGCGTTTTTTTTTTTGAGCAGGAAGACCTCATAGCAAAATTGGTTGCATCCGCTCAACCTATCCCGATTTAGTCGACATTAGGTGGAAGTCCCTCTTTCGAACTTGAACCGAGGTTAGATGGTGAGCGCATACTCAAGTCCATTTTTCTTCTCACTCAGAAGTTCCCACTCAATTGAGGTTTACTTGAACTACGTTTCCGGAAAATCATTCGCAAGCGCTTCATGGGGCCTGTAGCCCTTTTATTTTACCGTGTTTCATATCCTAGGACCCTCGGGGAAACGGCAGTTCTCTTAACCCTGGGAGTGGGATTCAACGAGCACGAATCAATTTTTTCCTTTGTTTACAGCTTTTCTTCCTTTGTTGAAAGGCCTGCTGAAAGGACACCTTTCAGTAGGCCACTTGTCCATCAACAATAGTAAATATTTTCTTAGTTGCTGAAAGTGTCGCAAAAAGTTGCCGTTTTTTTATACCTTTTCATTTAAAATAATAGTAAAACTTTTTACATATTTGAAAGGCTCATATAAATGTAAACTTTTACCCCACCATTCTACGTAGGTCAAAATAACTCTGTCCCGGGTGTGTATGTGGAAATCCCTCGTTCGAACCGAGGTTAGGCCCTTCAGGGGTTGTTCTTTTTTTTTTTCAACCCACCCAAAAGCTGAAATAATTTCGCAGTAAACCAGGTTCTGAATTACAGTAACAAGACCTAATAGCGAAGTTAGTATCGCATCCTGCCGTTAAAAAATAATCCAACGGTTTCTGTGGAAGCCCTTCGTTCGAATCGAGGTGAGGTCATCGCCTAGATGCTGTGCTCTTTTTTCGGCACACAAAAATTCCAAAAACCAGCACACACCTATCCAAGGGCAGGTAAAGCAGAGGAAGACCGAATAGCGAAATTCGCACCCTCTGCTTCGTGAATTACCGCTGTGTCGTTCGACTCGAGGTTGGGTCATGGCCGATGACTTCCGTTCTTTTTTATCCACCCAGACTAAAACCCGAAACAATCATACCTATCCAAGGACAAGTAAAAGGAAAGAAGACCTAATAGTGAAATATGGCATCGCATCCACTCCCAATTCACAGGCCATGTTGGCCATGTGGAAGTCCTTCATTCAAATCGAGGTTAGGTCCTTGAGGTGTGCAATCTCTTTTTTCACATACCAAAAGAAATGTCGCCGGTGCAGGAATATAGGAACAAGACTTAATAGCAAAAATGGAATCGTGTCCACAGTCCACTGTCATTGAAATAAATCGTGAGCCGTTGTGGGAGTCCCTCGTTTGGCCCGAGGTCAGGTCAACTGCTCGACCTTTTTTTCTCTCTTCTCTTTCAAAATTTTCCAGTGAGGCCAAATAAGTAGTGAGATCACGAGAATGGTACCGCGTTCCCGCTTGGTTTAAGTGCGCCGAGATATGCCTTTGTGGAAGTCTCTCATTCAACCCTAGCTTAAGTCGTGAGTTGCTCGCCGAAATCCTTCTATTTTTCAACCCATCGAAAAGCCTGAAATAAGCACGCACCCTTAAGTGTATGGCATGTGGAGTTCCGTCGTTCGAATCGAGGTTAGGTCATTGTCCATGTCTCACATTTCACATTTTCCTTCTCCCTCAAGATTTTGCAGCAATGAATGTAAGGGAAGAAAGGCGGAAAACCTAGTCGACGGGGAATAGACACTAGTGGATGCGGGTGGAAATTCCCGTTCAAGCATGTTTGAGAGTTGTGGTAAATCTTTTTTGGGAAAGAAAGTGAGCTCGTGTGAGGGTGGAGAGGTCCTTCCGGTGAATTCAGCAAATCAATTATTTTTGAAGTTGAAAATATTGAACTGGAGCAAACACATTGTTGTCCCTCCAAAGAAAAAAGATTGCTTATTGGTGAAACTGGTATCAATGCATCCACGGCGCATTCTTCTCATTGTTCAATTCTCGAGTGGCCAAGGTTGATACCGTTTGAATTTTTTATAGTCCGACATTGGTTAAAAAATTGTAGCAGTGGGCGCAAAGATCTGGAGTGGTGGGGAGGGTCTACTAATGAAATTGCGTCACTCTTGAGCTTAGAGAAAATTGGAAATAAAACTCCGCATCGTAGTCGAACATTTAATATACTGGTGAGACTAGTATCACATACGCCTTGAAATTAAATTAGATTTGTGTGTCAGGAATGAGATGCGCAGCGCAAGCGAGTCTCGATTATTTGATCTTTAGGAAGTATCCCGATCCGCAGAAAGATACAGAACCCACAGTCAGCATGAACTTGACAAATGTTATGAGGCAAAGAACTCCCAGGGGCCAGAGCAAGAGAACACAGAGTTGTAATGTGCCAGTTTGTCGCCAGAAGGCATGCAAAGAATGTATAATGCGGCCTATAGAAGAAAATCTTCGCCGGAAATTATATTAATGAAATTCAGACGGTTCCGCTCGGCGCAGGCGGTAACTGCGGCCCGCTGAGCGCGTGGCGATGACATCACGGCGCCAGGAATGAAAACGCCGGAAACCCGGGATGAGCCGGAGCTCAATAAGGGCGGAGGGGCTCTGGAAATACGTGCAGAGGACACTAGATAATGGGATCTGGGGAGAAAGCACGAGGACGCGTTGTTTGGATTGAGGCGGGACTCAAACTGATGTATAACTCAGTTTGGGTAACACGTGGGATAGATACCAAAACAAGTGCATCGCCTCCTGCCACTCTCTCTGTTGCCACGACCTTCTGAACAATAAGTACAGGTAGGAGCCCAATTAGTTGCTCTACTGAGCTCTAAGCTCTTCACAGGAGTTTCGGTACCCATGACCGACCCTCATCATCTTGACTCCCTGCTCTCTGATACGACGCGAAGTCGCAATCGAAGCGCTTCGAACAGGAGATCCACCCGGTCAAATATTCGGGGGCGCATATCAGAGTTGGATGCGCGCATTCTGGCACTCGAAGAGGCTCTCGCCGCCGTTAGATTGGAGCGGCAGGACCTGCAGACGCGTCTCGACGCGTACAAATACCCCATCCTTACTCTTCCCACCGAAATCACGTCGGAA